GACCAGATCAAAGAGCGCGGTTTCCCTGGGGCGGGCTGTTGGTGGCAGTACAACCAAAATGCGGGCGGAGAGAGTGCTTCGAAGGAGGGAGCGATCGGGGCGGGCGGGCAGGAGGGATGCAGGAAGAGGGCAGAGGGCAGGCAAGAGGGCCGTCAGCGTGCTCGAGGTGGTGATGGCTATGGCGGGACTTGGCCAGCAGCACGGTTTGGGCAAAGATCGCCTGTTCTTCCGCAAACGAGCGAGCCTGGCACGCGGTTAAAATAATTCGCCAAACTTAGTGCGCCTACCCTACTAAAATGTTTCCGTCCTAACACGTCTGCCTTTGTACCCCCCTACAACACTATAACTACCCTAGAACCCCTAGGTTTTTTTACGCGCATCTTTTTTGCTGTACCTAAAATAACAAATCCCGCCTATAACACACTAAAAAAAGCTTGTATTAAGAGTGCTACAGACTACATAAAGTATTAGAAGATCTTCTTTAACTATATTAATTTTTTTAGGTATAATAATGTTAAGAAGACGTAGAGATAGGCTATAATTAGGTAGAATAATTAGATAATAGACTAAAGATACTATAATAATAAGATTGTACCTAAAAAACAAGGCTACCTACCTCTTCTTTTACTAAAAGACTTAGAGTAAGCTAACTAGTTTATTTAAGATCTTAGATAGACTGCAAGGTTAATAACCTAGGCTTAAATTATAGAGAAACTTAACTTAGACGTCTATAAAAGAACTCTAAAGACTTACCTAGGCTCTCTTAACTATTATAAGTGTATTACATATTAGAAGAGCTAGGTGTTAAAGAATCTAGCTAAAAAAAGAAGATCTTAAGCTAGAAATATGCTAAAAAAGTACCTAAAACTAGAGTAATAGAGACAAGTACAATTTAGCAATAAGATATACTAGTCTATAGGTCTAGAAGAGAAGGTTCGTATTATTAGAAAGCCTAAGAAGCGTTACTATACTAATTATATTTAGTATACACTTAATTAAGGTAATAAAAAAAGCTAGAAATAGTAGTATTCTTAGGCTGCTATTAGCTATAATTTTAAGTTAGATCTTACCTTCTACACTACTAAAAGCAGTAATAGCAAGATAAGTCTATAAGTATATTAAGATTAGATTCTAGAGCTAATTATAAAGCTCTAGCTTCTCTAGAGAAACAACTTTGTGCTTAAAAAAGATAATAATAGTAGCTATAGTAGAGGCTCTTCTAAGCGTAAGAATATTATATAGACCTAGAAAAAAGAGTATAAACTAGAGCACTACTTTAACTGTCTATAGTTCTCTAATTTAGCACTAATTAAGAACTACTAGTAGCTACTAAAGTAGTTTATAGCTTGTTTCTTATACTAAAATAAGTTTAAAATAAGAGAATTAGCTATTAAAGAGTAGCAGAAAGTCTTATAATACTTTATTAATAAACAAGTAGATAGTATGCTTTAAAGACTATAAGATTGCAAAAATTTAAATAGTTAAATAACTGCGTAGTAACGTTTTAAGATTTTAGAATAGCTATATTTAGTCTAAAATATAATTTTATAACTTTACAACTACAAAAAAAGTCGCGATAGTTAAAAATACAGCTTTAATAATGCCTTAGCTAAGATTCTAAGCTCTTAAATATAATATTATATGCTGTTTTAGTGGTGTACTTATAGTGTTGTGATGTGCCAAGACACCGCTAAGTTCGGCGAATTCTTTTAACCGCGTGCCTGGGAGAGGTCTAAGCGGCGTACGTCACTTGCGAAGCCAGATATGCAGCTTCCCGCGCCGAACTGAAGGAGTGAGAAATTAACGTAGATACAAGCAAGCGCCGGGCCGTGGGGGCTGAGGCGCTGCCGGCAAGAGCTGGTATATATACCGCCAGCAGCAGTCGGCCTGCGTCTCAGCGCGCCCCAGGTGAAGCATCACGTTTGGGTCTGTACGTTTCAAGGCAGGCTTAGCCGGCGCGCGTTTCTAGACACGAACAACAGTCCGCTGCAGCGTCGCGGGAGGGCGGCGCAAGGGTCGAGGTTATATTGATGGATCCACTGCGCTGGGGTTGCGAGCTTGTCATGTCCGGCATTCGATAGTCCAACAATCTGACAGATATGCTGGCTTCGCGCGCCATGCCGCGCTGAAACTCGAGGACAGGAGTCACATCGTTCCCCAGCTTGTCACATTCTGTCAGTGAAACGGCCCTCTCCAGGGCCTGCGCGTTCCTTCACAGCGTCGCAGCTTGGCGGGTGCAGTCCCACCAGCTTGGGCACAGACGCATCCTGTGAACTTTATGAAAGGCGCAACATGGCGTGTTTGCCCAAGGCGCGACTCAGCGTCCTTGACTCCATCTCATCTTAATCAATCGACGGCCCAGGTGGAGCTGCTGATGAAGCTACGTCAGACATCGAGCGAGTGCTTCGACTTGGAAAGTGCGCGACCCGTTGATCAATTGATGTCCAGGTACGCTAGCCAGCACTACAATGGAGCTGCGTAGCGCGGTGAAAGCTGCTGCAGGGATGAGCGATGTCACGTGAGTCGGAGCTGGTCGCTGCTAGCTTCCGACTAGACTTCTTTGACCGTCGCGCTCTCACCAACCACCTTTTCAACAACTGCACCCTGACCCCAACTAACGTCACGGCGCCAGAATGCCCGCCAGATCGGGCACCTCGTCGTCGAGCATGCATACCGCCACCTCCTTCAGCTCCAGCTTCATGGACGCCTCGCCAACACGCCAATCGCCGAATCGCCGCAGCAGTCACCGCCAAAAGCGCGAATCCCTCATCCGCGACCCCTATGAGAGCCCGGCCAAGCAATTAGCCCTCGAGTTCAACCTCCGCCTCAGCATATCCGACCGAGAGTTCAACGAGAAGCTGGACCAAGCTGCGAATGAGCGCGCGAAACAACATGCTCAACAACTCGCCTACGCTGCCGAGGAACACGAGCGCGTCTTCAGGAGCGCGAAGCTTGAGATCGAACGCATTGCCCTGGAAGAAGAGCAGGCGCGCCTTCGCCATGAAGAGGCTCAACGGCAGGAGATTGAGCGCCTGAAGCAGGAGAAGGCCCGCGAGCAAGCCGAGGCTCAGCGAAGGGCTCTGGAAGCAAGACAGCGCGAGGAAGAAGCCGCCCGTCAAGCCGCAGAGCACAAGCTCAAACTTCAACAGGCCGATGCCCGCATCAAAGCCCAGCAAGAGCAGCAGGCGGCCGCTGAGAAGCAGAAGAGGGAAAAGGACGAAGCTGATCGGAAGGCTGCCGAGGCTGCGGCCGCTGCAGAGAAGGCTCGACAGCAAGCACCACCACAGCAGCCAACCGCTCAGCCCACCCCCGCGCCGGCTCCCACACAAGCAGCTGCACCACCAAAGCCATCCACCGCCGCACCGGCAACTAGCACCAGCGCCGATCAGATTCACGCCAAATACCTCGAACTCCACCAGCGCATGAAGGCCTTCCGCAAGGCTTTCTGGGAGGAACACAAGAAGCCAACCTCCCCTCTCAAGGGTCCCGTTGGTGATGCCCGACGCGCCATCCGCACTCGACTTGGCCAGATCACCGTGGAGCGCAAGGACAGTGTCGCCGCCATCAAGCGCCTCCGAACCGAATGCTTCGACATCGCCCTCACAACACCCGGACCCATGGTCGACATCCGACAATACATCGTCTCCCACCAAATTCCCCAGCTGGCCAACGAGAACGAAGCCGCATACCCGGCGTTCCTGCTCTACGTCTGGATCTGCTTCGAGAAGTTCCTTGTAAAGCAGTTCGAAAAGGAGGCTGCCAACACCGACGGACGCATCATCCAGGAGATTGGTTTGATAGCAGCCAGCTTGTTCGGCGACCAGAAGTACATGTGGAACGGCCTTCCTCTCATCGACATTGCGCTGGCCAAGCTACACAAGGCCTGCCCCCCTCTGTTTGGCATCCGCGGTACTATGAACACCAAGGAAGGTCGGTTGCGCCTAGGCTGGCAAGAGGACTCAACCCCAGAGACATACTCGCAGCGCATGCGCGGTATTGGAGCTGGCTACGCCTCCATGTCACTCCGCTCATTCGCCGCCAAGGCGCCTGCCATCCCCATGTCAGAGTACTGGCACGCCATTTCGTCGATATGCAACACACCTTCCGAGCAACTCTGGCCAGGCCACTTTGCCATTCTCAGCGGCCTGATCCGCGACTACCACAAGAAGTTCATCCAATTCTACGGCGTACCTGCGCGTGGCGTCCTGCGTCGCGCTGTCGTCGACCTACCCGTCCGTGCACCAGAGCGCTGCAAAGACGCCGCGAGTACCATTGCCGTGTACCGCGAGACTTGGAAGAGGGAGAAGTTTTCGTTGGATTAGAAGAGGAATGAGGGCGTGTTGACGCAGATGGAATAGCATTGGGAGCTCTCTCTCGGAAATCGGCAATTTCTTTCATTGTCAAGGATCTTTTGTCAATCTTGCATGGGACGGCGCATATCATCAGCAGTATGACCTATGGTCGCGGGTTGCATCTTTTCCTTTTCTGGTATTTTCTCTTTGTCTCTATGGATAAGGAAGTCCACAAAGTACATGCGTAGAACAACGTCGTTCGCGACAACGAAATAGTCTCGCTCATTATCTTACCTATAGCGAGCATGAAATGATCAATATCGCCCTGTCCTCCGCCCCTAACCTTCGTGATACTATACAGCTGAGCCTCCGCACTGCAAGAGCACCTACAAGGCTCTGAGCTTTGACGCCACTGTCTTGAAAGGTGAGAATACTTCCGAGTAAGCAGTGTGTTAGTTCCCACACTACTTCTCCCCTCCCCTACAAGAAAGACAAAATCACTACTCTGTTATTACAGTCAAAACATTCCAACACCACTACTGTCATCAAAATGTGTACTCTTGTTGGCATGCCCGTAACTACCCAAAAAGGACTTCGGTGGAAGAAGGACCGGTCTTCAGGAGTGATGCCCGAGTGGACGACCGACCTCAGCATTGAGGACATCACAACCCTCGTGCGACGAGAGCTGAAGATCCCGACTCCAGACCCATGCGTAGTTCAATTTTCCTAACCCAGAACAACTTCGACAAGGATTACACCGTCACATGTGGCCGTGGCCAAGAATACATCCTGCGTCTAACTGTCGAAAGAGCAGTTAGTGCGTCAAATGATCTCTGCAGCTCTTCTAGCAGCGGTTTGATCAACTGGGTAATCTGTATCCCGCGAATGAACTTCCTCACTTAACCACGCCAGGCCTGAATAATATCGCCTTGCTTACACTGGAGGCCTCAATCCTCTCCACGAAAGTCGGCCTAGGCAAGATCGTCTCCGTGCCCTTCTTCTGGGGCGCACACATCGACCACAACATCCCGCGCGGTCCTTACAAGCGTAGTCAAGACTGGCTCGCCGCACAACTCCAGCTCAGCCTCCTTGATCTTGACGACGAGTCCAAGCTTGAGACCTTTGACGAAACCAAGCGCTCGATTTATCAAAATATCATCGATTCCTATCTTGGTGAGCCTGACGAAGCGGCCACCACAATATGGAAGAAACAAATCGATAGAATAAATACAGATCCGCGCCTTCAATATGCCCGTGGAAAGGTCGAAGAAGGTAAACAGCGAGCGCAGCGCCTACTTGATCTCATACCGAAGGTTTTTCCTGAGCAGGCGGAGGAAGAGGTATTCGTGCTCCACCACCACTCCCTCCACTTATCCAAAATCCTCGTCTCCTCCACCGGCGCCTTAACCAGTATCCCCAACTGGGAATGCACTCACACCGCCCCCCTATGGCTCGCATGCCAACTCCCCTCATTCCTAGATTTGACCGACTCCACCGCAGCAGTGTTCGCCTACCTCAACATCGAATATGTTAATGAGGAGTACAAAACGCAAGTAAAGCTTCGACAGTTTTTCCTGGAAGAGATGCAGCGTATCTGTCCGGAATGGGTCGAGGTACACAAGGCTGGTCAGCTGAAGGTGGGGTTTGAACAGTGTGTGCAGCATTTTGGTAAGGCGGGTGATGGGAAGTATATTGATCGGTGGATTGATGGGGTGGAGAGGGAGGGGAGTGCGATGCTGTTGAAGGAGATTGTGAGGGCTGGGTGGGTTGGGGATTATGTTTGTGGTCAGGGCTTTTCTAGTTGAGGGTTGTGGGATGGGGATATATCTGATGGTTGGAATACGTTAACCTGAAGAATGAATCAAAAGTTTAGGGCCTATTTAGACGTTTTGTGTTCCTCTGTTGTATAAGGTGGAAAGATATTTGAGTAGTAGTTGGACGCTCTTTCCGAAAGAGGTAAAGCAACAGACATGAACTGGAACTGCCACGTCAATAGTATCGCCGCAAAGATTAACATTCCTTGACCTCGCTTGCTACCTGACCCTCCGAATGAGCGTGTGGGCGAATCCTTAGCCGACTATATAGATAACGAAATAGAACGTGACAATACGGAGAGATCGGTGAAGTCCATGCGCATCGGTAGGTCCCAAGTTCCATCCTCAGTGATAACACGAGGATCCCGGCTCTCGGTCCCTCTCTGATAGTTCCTCAACATTTTTACCCAATCACTTCCTGGAAAAATATTTTTGTCAACTGGTCTCAACCCAATCTCTTCCTCCAAGTATCCCGGCCATTGCATGGCATATTGCCCAGCAATCTCCAACGATTTCTTCACCTTGAGTTGTGCCAGCCCGCGTACAAAAACGACGCTTCTGCCTAGCCCAATGTGATGATCCTCTGCATCCCAGAAGACTTCCAGGTTTTGAATGTTGGTCGCCTCTCTTTGAAGTTTGTCGAAAAGCAAGCACCATCGCTGAGGACTAGGTGCGGCGTCAGTCGCGTCGACATGGACGTTGAGGTCTGAGATCAAGGAAGCGTTGTTTGTCTCGAGCCAGGTCATAAGAGCGTCAGGCTGCGACACATTGATAGTGAGGGATGGAAGGAGATCATCAGGTGCATCGTTGAGGGTAGAAAGCCGTTGTAAAGCAGGGTTAGTACCCTCTTTCCAGGAGTAGCCTTTCGGACGATGGAACAACATGTGTGGAGGGGAATACATCATGAATTACGATGATGCTACCTTTTTTGGAGATAGAAAGGGAGGAAGAGATATTAGATATGGGTTGATGTAGAAAGAGGGAAAGTAAAGATCAACATGATTTCATCAACTCTTGCAGCTCAAGGATGCCATGCGGCAAACCCTAATTGGTCGTGTGAGGTCTCACAACCACAGACGGCCGGTGAGTGAATCCCTACGAAGAGCGAATATATTGCCTTGTCCTCTTGCTCGCGGCTATACAGTACCTAGGTAAGCACCAAAAGAAATTCTTGATACCAGATTGTATCTACGCTTTCACAGTTATCGGTGTAGAGCGAGAAAGCTAGCGAGATTTGACCGCAAAGGCGTGACATGATCCAGGAATAGCACCGCATTTTAGCGAGAACGCTAGTTGGGTCAGCCAACATCGCCCATCGTCCCGCTGTTGTTAGGCCAGCCGTCGTCAACACCACACCCGTTGGCCAGCAAGCTCCCACTCACCAGCCAGCGCACGCATGAGATGAGGGTCTGACACCACCACGCCGCATAGTCGCCGCAGACGCGCCGCAAATACTCTGCTTGTGGCGTCCAGTAGCCACCAACTCCCATCCCACGATCTCTACAATGACGCGCCGCAGCGGGAGCTTGACAACTCGCATCATGGCTTTCCTTTACCGTAACAAGTTCGCCTATTCTCACCCCACAATTTGCCCACGTCGCCGTCCAATCCTCCTTGGGCTTGGCTCAGGCAGACACGCAGAGGAAGTGTAAGGCGCTCAGCCTTGTGTCGATTCATGATTGTTGCTGCTCATTTCTTTTAGCGCAGGTGGCTGTGCTTGCCTAAATTTCGAAACGTTGATCCTACAGCACAACCCTTTGGCACATCACTGTCTTTGTAGAGGCCCTCGTATTGGGCCGCCAAATCTGTGTTGATATTGTGTGGCAAGAAGCTGGAATGGGGAGTCGTTCAAAAGAGCAGCCACTCAATTTGTATGGTTCCACGAGCTGAATTGATAGCTTCAGCTGCGGAGACAAAACGAGCGAAACCGCTCGGACGTGGCTCGCACGCGGTAGAGAACCACCCCCAAGTGGATTGACAACAGATGGGGCCCCGACATGCACGCCCGTCACCGCCGTCTACGAACCCGTGCCACCACCAGAATGCCACACAGCTCCTTCTGATTCCTCGATTAGACGCGGTAGTCCAAGCTTCGACGGCCGTTCTCGACGCCCATCATTCGTTAGGCCTCTTGTTTTGCGCCAAGCTGCTCATCATACCACAGGGGCGCAGTGACTTTTCTCCGACTTCATGGGCCTACTTTCCCCACAACGTGCTGAGGCTGAGCATATCTTTCCCACTTTCGAGCCGCATACTGGACGCCTTCTCACGGATCCAGCGCCATGGGCGCAGGATCTAAGGCCGGTGCGTCAAAGGTTTCATTTTACGGAGAGACTTATGTCTGCCTGGTGCCCGGTACCAGTTCATAGCAATAGCACATAAAGGACTACTCGAGCAAGTTCGTCTCAACAGTCTCATAGCTATACATCGTCATATTTTCGAGGCGTAGTAGTTGTTATATCTTCATCGCACCGCCACATCGCCTCCTATTTAGCACTACAAATACACGAATAGCTTCGCCAACCATCTGAAGCCTCACCAACAGATCCAACTTGAGAACCATCGCACACACCAACACACACCACCATGTCACCTATACCAGTAGACAACAACCTCGTCGCAGACGAAGACCTAGCTTCAGTACCCTACTCAGGATACTGGACAAAAGCCAACATCGCCCTCACCGTCGTCTTCGGCCTCATCTTCCTCGCCATAATCCTCGCCTGCCTAATCTTCTATCTCCACCGCCGAAGCGAAAAGAAGAAGCTCGACAACCGCAAGTCAGACACCGCCGGCCTCCTCGCCAACGAAGACAAGACCAGCATGTTCAGCCGCGTCCGCGCAAGCAGCGTCACATTATACGTCGACTCGGAGGCGGACGCGCGCAACAAGAGATCGAGTACGGATACCATGCATCTCGTTCCACTACAGGTCACGCCTAGTGAGGAGACTAGTGACCCCATCGCTGATAATACGGAGAGCGCTGGTACGGGTGTTAGTGCGATGAGTCGCCAGAGCAACGGTACGCTTAGTACTATGGTACTCAGTCCCATATCGCCGAGTGGTGACGAGGGTGACATGAGTTTACGGCCGGCACCGACAGGGCGCGCACGCAGTACGAGTACAGCTAGTCAACGGGCACGGTATTACGAGTCGACGCCTATGATTGCGATGCCACAGATTCCGAAGATCATTCACACGACGTCGGAGTAGAGAGGGGGTCTGGGCATACATGTAGGCCCTTAGGGAGGGCGGACGGTAACGAGGAGTTCACGAGCTGAAGATTCCGATGTCTTACTCTGTCTTTCTGTTGTTTCGCGATTCCGCGGTCTTTTCTGCACAAGCATTATTATATACCCTGTCTACGCTCCTGCACCTGGCATAACACGCAGTCGAGTATTATCTAGACACTTCTATCTCATCTCTTATGAAAGCAAAAAGTTGAACAATCTATTTTGATCTTATGCCAGGCCGTTAACTAACAGTTGACTTCATCACTATATTACGTCTAGCATATACTACTATGTATACTCGCCCCCAAACTCTTCTTCCCGGTTGCCTGGTCGTTGTTGTATGTGTTGGCATCTCGGCTCACTCGGAGTGAGCACTAACGACGCGCATCGATCCCCAGCCCCGGTAAAAGCTCTGGTCTAGGACGAGACATGTAAGCTTTAAATGACATCATACTCGATGCTGAATTCACCCCAGAGCTATTTGACTCTATGAGCAGAAAAGCTCCTACATCCCTATCAGGGCACAAAGCCGAGAATGCGTTCTGTGCCGGTCACTTCAAACCAGACAGTTGAGAGTCGTTGATCCCGTAACAGAAGACTTCGCCTTACAGTCAATGTCATAGATGTTATACTCGAAGTACATCCCAAAGAGGAGTAGCACGTCCGATCACGTCTGGACAAACACCCTCTACATCACTGACGCATATCCAAAAGCCATCTCCAAGGCGATCTCGGCATCACCGATCAACAGCCCAAACACAGACCCACGGCACAGTTCAATAAGCGGCGAAGTTCACACAGGGGATCGCTGTGCCACAAAGACCTCTTGCATGGCCCGACTGTGCCGTACGCGTTACCGCACCCGCGGACCGAGCCAAGAGAATGTGCCACAGGGGATATGTTAGCCTTGATAACAATGAACGGTAAAAAGGAGACAGGCAGCCACCCATGATATCACCGTGGCGGAGACAGGAGCATTTGCATACGGGTAAATGAGCCAACGTGAAGCTTCCTCAATATACATGCTAAACCAGCGCTCTACACGCTCCCCACCCGTAGACCTATCGCTAACAATGCAACACAAAACAATGACTTAAACCGCTCAAAACATACCAATACAGATACCCGCATCCATATCGCGACCGCACGAAGCGAGTCTATACAGAATCAACCCATCATCAGCCGTTGAACAGTTGCGACAAGCGAAGACCTACTTCTTCGCAGCATTAACAACCTCTTCGCTCAACTCCCACTCCGGAGTCCAGTGCACATACTGCGTCATCGCCACAGCGAGCAACCACTCCGTCTTGACAATGCGCGGAACCATGTTTTCACGCTTGGCCAACTCGCGGAATTTAGTCCAGTTGGTAAACTCCTTCTTGTCGGCGTCGGAGATGAGGTACAACACGTCTCCCTCGTCTTCAACTTGGTTCTGACTGACCTCTTTGTCAGAAGGGTCGAGTTTACGTTTTGACGCGGAGAAGACGGTGGTTGGTCTGCCCTTCCAGAGCACACATTTTCCGCCGTTGACTTCGACAATGTCTTTGTAGGTTTCGAAGCCGCCGCCGACTTTCTCTGTGCAGAAGACGGTCCAGCCTTTGAGGAGGCGCTGCTTGTTCTGCTTGGCGCGCGAGAGGGCTTCGGAGAGCCGGAAGTTGTTGGCCTCTTCGAAGTCTCTAGCTTGGAGGAGGTGCTTTTCTGCCGGGGGGAGCTTGTTGTTCTTCAGCGCGAAGTCGAGGTAGCTGGTTGATACGAGGG